AAATACTTCAAAAGCTATCGTTGCATAAACCTTTTTATGTTTAGATCTTTTATAGCTGGGGAAAATTTCTGTTCTTTACAGCTTCTCAGAATGAATTTGCAAAGGGGCGCTTGTAGTTTTCTAACAAAATGGCTAACTTTATTAGGTATCATCAAAGGTGGCAAAGTGCCTGTGCAAAAATGTTTTGTCAGTCCTATACTATGAAAATTGCCAGCTAATGCTAACTAAATCTTAACCTCAACCAGCTAATAAATTGTGCTACACTGGTAAACTGTAAGTCTGCCTCTGCAGTGACAGCTACTTCCCAGTGTCCCCTCTGGGTTCCTTTCATATATTATTCATACTGAGGTTTGTCAGGATCAAGTCTCCACATTACAAAATGTCATTCCTGGATTGAGGACTTGTTTTCTAATGGCTTTCAAAAGTTCATTAGAACTTGAGGTTGTGTATAGCTTAAATTTAGAAAATCCGTTGGCATAGCAACCATACCACAGTCATCTCTTGTCATTTTATTAAGATTTAAGAAATCTGTAGTACATGGCTGCAGAGTTCTTATACAGCTTCTGTGTAGATCAGGTATGAGCATGAGTTTACACTAGGGATGTTAGGTATTGGTCAGCTGAATAGTCGATTAACCTTATGAATTCTTATCAGTTACTCGTCTATTCTATAATCCCTGGGAGTGGAGCCGGCAGCCAGGGTGCTCCAGCCCTACTTCCGAGGAGCCCCCTGCCATTCTGTGCTGCTACCTCTGTATCAGAGGCAGCAGCATGGGGTACCAGGTGGTAGCTGGTCTGCCTAGGGAGCCAGTTTAAAACCAGCTACCCTTGTGGACCGGCTGCCTGTCATCTCATACTGCTGCCTCTGATATGGACGCAGCAACACAGGGTGGCAGCAGCCCCTGTCAAGGGGGATCTGAGCTCCTGGACCCAGCATGAGCCAGAACCGGGCCCAGCCTGCTAAAAAATTTACGGGCGAGGGCAGGTACATGTAGTTTATAGCATTAACCGTTAAGTGTTTGCTAATCAGTTAATCAACTACACTATTACATCCCTAGTAATCTTAATGCTAGTAATTACAACCCCAGTTTTCTTAATGTTTCAAGTCATTGCTTACTGATCTGCATATATTAGGTTTATATGAGTACTCTTTCATTGTTAACACCTGAATAATTGGTGCCACATTGTGGTGTTTAGCGTTTAGATTTGAATACAATCCTCTCAGAGTGTAGAAAATGGGGAGGAGCAGATAAATCAGGCTATCTCCTCTGGAAACTGCTGCTAAGCAATAGGGTTTCTCAAGCATTCCCTGGCCTAGATCACTCAAAAGCCATGGAACGTGAGAAGAGGAGTTCAAAACAATTATCTGTAGTTCCAAAACAATCATTTGTTGTTGAATCCTTTTAAATTAACCCCTTTTAAACATTGAACATGATATTTTTATGATTTTTAAAAAACTGCTGTAGCACCATATAAAGAAATAAGCATTCCTTCTCTTTATGATAGCTCTTGCAGGGAAGAAAGGGCTGGGCGGGAGAACTTGACTTGTTCCCCTTCTAGAAAACTGTGCTAATTATGCCTGTTTTTTCTAGTGTTAGCAGAACATTTCTTCTGATTGGTTAGGCAAGGTGGAATTTATCCTTTCTTTTTCTCCCCCTTTCCTTTTCTACAAATGTTTATCTGAAGAATTATCTTCTTTCTCAATCTAAGGAAAGGGAAAGATTACTTTGGCTTTCTTAGGATCCTCAATGGTGTCTGATTATTAGAAAAGGCAGTTTTATGCATAAGATTAATTTTTCTGAGGTGGTTTCAGGGGTATTTGGATGTATATCTCTCCTTCATGATAGAAGCATTCTAATGAGGTCCTTTTTTTGTTATTGTAAGCATGGATTTAAACAGTTACTATATAAAAGCCAGAAGTGAAGATCAAGTATAGGCCTTTTTATTTTAGGTGTGCGTGCATGCATGTGTTTAAAACAAAGAACCACCATCAATGTCCAGAGGGAATACTCTGGTTAGAAAACCAATGTATCCATCATTTCCATCAATTGTAAAAGGAGAGGTGCTGTAACTCATCTCTGATTGGGGCTCCATTTTCAGTAAACTTGAAAACCCCAATCCTCTCCTGATCAATGTTACCTCTAATTTTTTCCATTCATGTATGGAGTAAATTTTATGATGTGCACTGAGCCATAACAGGATGTGTACCACAAGTAGAAATACATGTTGGTGGTAGGGATGTGAAAGGTTAGCCCTGTGGTTCTCAACTGGTGATTCATGGACCACTGGTGGTCCATGGTGACTCTTTTGGTGGCCCCCAGGAATATTGTCCAAAGTCACATGGCATGAGCATCGCCGCCATTAGGCTGTTTTATGCCGTGTTCACAAGCACGCAGTGCGTCATCCATAACATCACCTAGGACGCAACCACATTGTGTTGCCAGTAACTTCTGTCTGAGGCTCTGAGTGTCAGCGTAGCTGCCGCCGTCGTGCTGAGCGGTTGCCGTGTTGTTTGTCCTGTGCTACATGTGCTGAAGGTGGTCCACGAACATTTTTTGATTGGCCTGGTGGTCCGTGGACTGAAATGAGTTGAGAACCACTGGGTTAGCCAGTTAATCGGTAAACATCACCCGTAATGGATTATGCTTAGTGGTTCCAGTTAACTGGTGCTCCAACCCCATGAGGGGCCCACTGCAGTTAGGGGCTGTTCTGGTTGTCTGGAAGAGCTTCTGTCTGCGGCAAGCTGGGGTACCCTGCAAGTAGGGGCTTCTTCAGTCGTCCAGAGGAGCCCCTGTCTGCGGCATGCTGGATCACCCAGTAGACGGGGCTGCTCTGGCGGAGATGGGGCGGTGGTGTGGCTGCTCCAGCCCAATCTCACCTCCCGCCCATACTCCCCTTTAATTGGTTAACTGGTTGACCCATTATGCTGGATTTTACATCCCTAGTTGCTGGCTGTGGACATTCTGATGATCACTGGCTGGCATCTGAATCTCTCCTGGGTGGCTGTCCAAGTGTTCAGTTATTACAAAAAACTAAATACCACCTTCCACTCCAGAGTTTCCTGAAAGAGATGGATCTTTGCTAATCTGCTCCTTGCTTAGCCTCTCTTATATCTTCCCCAGTAAAAAACCTTCGGTGTTTGGCTCTGATACCTCTGTCTTTCCCAAGCAACTGCCAGTTAAATTGACATACTGATCATTGTAACAACTGGCACGGATTTTCATTTGCAATAGAGAAGCTGATCAAAGTCCTGTTAATTTTACTCTAAAGTTGATTATAGATGTGCAAAATAGCAGAGCATTGAGTCTTCCTCAAAATTTAGGAAGGCAGGGTATCAGTACATATTTGGAAAATTTCCTTCTGGGGTTGTTAAATTGCGGTTACCGAGTTAATCGTATAGTCGATACAATATGATTGACTATACAGTTCGTTGATAGCACTGCTATGCAGAACTGCTGCGGAGATAGTTCCAGGAGCCACCTATGCTGTGGCTCTGCATTTTAAATGTAGTAAGAACTGCTGGGCTATTACAACATTTAAAATGCAGAGGCACAGCGTCCGCATGAGCCGGGTCTGCTAGAGCCTGGCTTGCCCTGAGTCCAGCAGTCCCTGTTTGTGGCAGACAGCCCTGGAGCTGGAGCAGCCTCTGTTTGCAGCAGCCAGAGGCTGCTCCAGCACCAGCCTCCATTTACAGCGGCCAGGGCTGGCTGCAGATGAGCTACTGCTGGAGCAGCCCCTGCCTGCGGCCAGCCCTGGCTGCTGCAAACAGGGCTACTTGGGAGCAGCAGCCTCTGGCTGCAAAGGGGGCCCAGCTCCCCGCTAGGACCCCTGCGGACAGGGGCTGCTTCTCAACAGCCTCCCATCTCTCTCCCCTACCCCCACTGCCTCTGATAGTCAGCTCCCCCCAGTACCAGCTTGTCCTCCCCTCCCCCTTAACTGCCTCTCAGAGAGAGCAAGGGAGGGGTGCCGCAGGGAGCACACGGCGAGCAGGGAATCAAGCAGTCCTACTTACCCTGTGTTCCTACTGCAGCGCTTCATTCTTTGAAATGTAGCAAGACACGGGGCACTTGCTACATTTCAAAGGCTGAAGCGCCACAGTGGGAACCAGCATGAGTGGGGTCTGCTTCAGTTCCCACTCACGCTATTTTCCTGCTGTGCCTCTGCCACCCCTGCCTCCCACGGAGATGGTTCTGGGGGGAACCATCTTTTAAGCCGGCTCTCCTCAGCACCAACTCCTGCTCCTCCCCTTGCTGCCTCAAGGGTGGGAAAAGTGACTAGTCAAGTAACTACTTGCTTACAAGTCTAGTTGCTTGCATCCCTATTTCCTTCACAACCATATGAGCTGGAAACTATTAAAACCTTAATTTCTGCAGAAATTGATGGCTTAAGACTCCCTCTTGCTACAAAGTGTTTGTACAGCATTGCTGTCTAGGCAAATAGCAACACCATTTGTTGCTAGTCTTCCAGTTTCATTTTAATAGTGTCAATTTGAAGAATTTTTTATGAGTATAAAAAGCAGTTAGGAGTTAAAATCTTTCTGAAATAGGAAATTTTGCTTAAAGTTTTGGCAAAACAACTAGTCAGTGTTTTCCGTGCATTTGTCTACTTATTTTCAGTTTATTTAGGATTCTGATTACTCTGCCAATTTGAATATTCAGACTGGATTCTTCATTTCATTTTAACAATTGGATGTCACAGATTTATTATGAAACTTTTTGGTTAAAATTTTGAAGTTTAAATGTGAATCTGAAGTGAATCTTGCGACCTAGACTTACATGAAGTCATTTTATTTAGTACTTTTAAAAATACAGATAAGGTGAAAATACTGGCGTAATCAAAGAAATACTATATTTAGCTCATTGCAGCTGCTGATAAAATATTAAGGTTTAGTTTCCAGTCGCTCTGAAGGAAAATTTTACACACACAGTCCATTCATAGATGTGACAGTCAAGTATATCGACTTGTGATTAGCAAAAATCTTACCCTTTTTTTTATTTACAGGTAGAAAAAGACAAAGAGTGCATCGTCCTCGTTCTCCGATATTGGAAGAAAAAGACGTACCACTCCTTGAATTTCCTAAATCCTCAGAGGACTTAATGGTGCCTAATGAGCATATAATGAATGTTATTGCTATCTATGAGGTACTACGGAACTTTGGCACTGTTTTACGCCTGTCTCCTTTTCGTTTTGAGGACTTCTGTGCTGCTCTGGTAAGTCAAGAGCAGTGCACACTTATGGCAGAGATGCATATAGTGCTTTTAAAAGCAGTTTTACGTGAAGAAGACACTTCAAATACTACCTTTGGACCTGCTGACCTCAAAGATAGCGTTAATTCCACTTTATATTTCATAGATGGAATGACGTGGCCAGAGGTTCTGCGGGTATATTGTGAAAGTGACAAGGAATACCATCATGTTCTTCCTTATCAAGAGGCAGAGGACTATCCCTATGGACCAGTAGAGAGTAAAATCAAAGTTCTACAGTTCTTAGTAGATCAGTTTCTTACAACAAACATTGCACGTGAGGAGCTAATGTCTGAAGGTGTTATCCAGTATGATGATCATTGTAGGGTTTGTCACAAACTTGGGGATTTGCTTTGCTGTGAAACTTGCTCAGCTGTGTACCATTTAGAGTGTGTGAAACCACCTCTTGAAGAGGTACCAGAGGACGAATGGCAGTGTGAGGTCTGTGTAGCACATAAGGTGCCTGGTGTAACTGACTGTGTTGCTGAAATCCAAAAAAATAAACCGTACATTCGACATGAACCCATTGGATATGACAGAAACAGACGGAAATATTGGTTCCTGAACAGAAGACTTATTATGTAAGTAAATCTAGTCCTTCAGTGTATACTGAAGAACCTTAGGGTGCTAAGTATCTTTTTAAAACCTTTTCCCTGTAAGTATCATTATAATCTTAAAGGTATAATTTTTGTAATATTAAGACCAAAGTTGTTGTATATTTCTCTCTGTAGGTTTCCAAAATCAGTGTAATTCATTCTTGTGGCTTACAGAAAAGAACTGTTTTAGATATGACAGAGAACTTTAATACCTTCAGCACAATGCCCTTGTGCAAAAACAAACCACTGTGTGGTAGGCACAAAAGTGGGGAAGGAAATGGAATTTCAATAAAGGAACGTATTTTAGTCTTGAGCATCCATATAATTGCTATGGACAGTAAGAAATAACTTTAAAACATGAAAAATAAGTGTCATTTCTAAAAATATTAAACTTGTTAACTTCTCTTTAACTGGATCTAGCCAATGCTATTGTAGCAGCATGCTGCATAGAAACCAAAATTTAGGAACACCCTCAGCATACTGTTTTCCCATGCTGATGAAGATTTGCTTGTTGAATATTGATGAATGTTGATGGTCTGCCTTTGCCTGATTACTAGTAATTCTCTTGGGTCACTCAGTATTGCTCCTAGCCTAGACTGCAGTGAGAGAGAACGTGTACAAATTCATGTCTTCAGGATATAGAGACAGTGAATGCAAAGATTTATGAGTTCAAGTGGTCTGTTGTTTTGTTTGTACAGTACCTAGCACTGTGAGTTACATTCTTGGTCAGTCCTTAGGTACTACTGTCAGAAATGTGATTAATAATCATACTTGAATACGTTTGCTAATAGCCCAAGGTACTCTGATATTTCTCTACCCCACAAAAAGCTAAATTTGGAGTTGTATGCAGATCTTATTTTCTAATAGAAAATAGTGGAATCCTGGCTACTACTAAGTCTGATTTAACACAGTAGCTATAAAAAGGGAAGAGAAATGGAAATTGATGAAGGGGGAAAATAAAATGCCTAATACAGTGAGCTTTGTTATCTTTTCATATCATCTGCCATTAAGCAGTCAATCTTGGAGAGAAGAGTCCATAGTCAGTGTCAATTAACACATTTTTACAAAATTAATGACTGAAATGAAATAAAAATGTTAGAATCTCTGGGAGGAGAGACTACCAATATGATTGTCATTGGCAAGGTATCAGGCCAAACAAGCCAAATCTTGCATTTGTAGTCCAGAATGTAATGCCATTTATTCCTGCTTGTATTAATGAATAATTATTCAGTGATACTTAACAAATTGACTATTTCTTAAGATTGAATCTACCAAAGGTGTAACTTCAACTTGTTAACAGAGAATATTAGTATGTCCTGTACTTGAGGTACAGAATTTTTTCTTTCATTTTAATTACTTTTAATTTCCCCAGATCATGACACACAGTTGGAGCATTTAATCTTCTGTAAGATTCTTAGGGCTAACTGTAGCCTTTTGTGTATTGTTTAGGTTGATCATCCTGCTCTTGTTAACTTCTTTGTTCTGTGTTTGTCACCTCAATCAGGTGAGGGCTGCCCTCTGTTGGTTTCTGATGAATTATGTAGCCTGACTTGTCAGGCTATGAGACATGCTGTTCCCTCATTTTTTTGGAAGTGGGCATTTTCCATTAGCAACATTAGTTTATTCCTCTGAATTTCCACTCTTGCATTTAAAGATTTGGGGAGCAGCTGTCACCCATGGAAAAATATTAATCCATTCACTACTTACCAAACCCTGAGTGCCATTTGCTAATAGATTGGGTTTAGTAGCCCATGTCCTTCCCTTAAACTAACATCACAACTTCTCTGGTGACATGAAATAAAAAATCATGCAATTTTTATTTTACTATAGGCTCAGACAGAATTAGGAGAGTTTCAGCAAAATAGTGACTAACTGGTCTTCTCTCTTGCAGTCTGTAGCTCTGCAAAATACATATCCCATGATCTGAGAGAGGATGTTAAATTTCGATTAATCAGCTAATCTAGTAGTCAACGGAATTTCCATCGACTACTCGATTAGTTGATGGGGAGGGGAGAAACGCTCACTGTCTTGAGTCCCCACTCGTGCCATTTCCCCTGCTGCACCTCTGCCTCCCCTACCTCCCTGCGGAGACCGTACTTGTGGGAACTGGCTTTTAAGACGGCTCCCCCTAGCACTGGCTCTCATCCTTCCCACTCCTTTGCTGCCTCTGATACAGGGGCAGCAGAGGGGGTAGTGATTCATCTACCAGATAGGTCTAGCCTTACCCAGTAGTTGAGTAGTTGCTTACATCCCTAGATCTGAGAGCCTGCTCTGTTGAGATGTCCTGGTATGCAATATTCCGGTAGTGTGAGCCCCTATGATCAGCTTCATATTATGAAACTGATCTATGACAAACAGACACTTTTTTCAGTAATAGTCAAGTTTTGTATTTCAGTTAAGCAAATTTGAATACTGGAAAAATGGACTTGCCTTTTTGTTGTTGTCTTGACTTGAGAGCTTGCCCATTTGTTTTCTCTATACTTCCAGACATTATCTTTTTCTTGGAGGAAGATGGAGGAATCTGGCAAATATTAAATTTTGTATTTAAAGTAACTTTTCCAGTTAATGTGAGTTTAACCTTTTATCTAAGGTATGATGTATTAGCATAATTAATCTAATTTAATTGCTTCAGTAGACACATGCATCTTAAATGATACAAAAGCTTTCTCTTTAAACCCATTTTTTTTAGTGTCACCCAGTTTTTACATGTACATATCCATGAAGAGCCACATGTTTACATATTATTTGAGTCATATAGTTAATACACTATTGTAGAGACCATCATTGAGAGAGATAAATTTCAAACACTTGTTAGAGATAGGATTCTCTAGTTTTGGTAAAACTGATGGCTATGTTCCACTCTCTTGTGTACTAGATCTTCTCATTTGTAAATAATGTATACTGTGATTTTTTTCAGAATGTTAATCTATTATGATTATAAAAGATAATTATACCAGAGCTGCCTTAATCTGGCTAGATTAAAGCTAGATGAGTGATAATAACAGTGTAGCCATGGTGGCAGGGCCTATCCTCCTGAGTATAACCCTGCCCGGGCCCTTGGGTACATACTGGAGCACTTAATCTAGTCTGCTGCCACTACACTGTTATTGATATTCAACGTAGGTTTGATCTAGCTGGGTAAAAGCAATTTTGGGTATGTCTACCCATTCTGCAGTCATATCTTCTGATTTCAGTGTAGACATAACCTAAGTCATTAGAGCATGGGTAGGGAACCATTTTTAGGTAGGGGCCACTGACCTCACTGACATGGTCCCCAATTGAGGAGGAAAAAAAACACTCCCCACATTCCCTTCACAAACCAGAGCCTGGCGCGGTGGAGGGTACAATCTAGTAGGTTCTGTATGCTCCAGCCCCACAGTGGAGTTGTAGGGGGGCTGGAGCATCAGCATGGGCTCCCGAGTGCTGGGGTGTGTGTGTCTGAACCTGGGGGTCAGATCCAGGCAAGCCAGGGGCCTCATCCGGCCCCAGGTTCCCTACCCCTGCATTAGAGGCTACAAAGAGATAAATAAGCAACCAAGAAAAAAGTTGGAAAATGGTAATTACTGGAGAACTTTAAGGAGAATTGATGCTCCCTTTTCAACTGAGAGGACAAGCTAGTCAGCCTTTTGCTGGGGAATAAAGAAGAAAATGGGGTTCATGAGGGATAATTTTAAGTTGTATTTACTCAAAAGAAAAACTTTTTCAAAATATTTTTCCTGTTAAAATTATTTTGATTTTTGCAATACATTTCAACTGGCAATCCATGTTTCTGACTTCAGCACACCTCCTTTCTCCCTTAGCAACTGGAGGCTGGAAAATATAGTGCTAAAATATGAACTTTCACTTCAGTCATTAGAGGATAATCAAATATTTAAGAATAAATTAAGTGCTTACCTCACTGCTCAAAATATAGAAATGAACTAGTGTCGTAAGTACTTTCTTCACTTAAATGTTGTTTATAGAGCAAAGACAGAGTTCACCTCTGTGTTGTGTCGTTCTGAGTCTTAGACTTGAATCGTCCTGAGTCTTAGGCACATCTTCTCGCCACCTTATTGCTGCCAAGGCTGGAGTCAAATTGGAGCCACTGTGTGTGTGTTTTCAGTGAGCAGCATCCCCTTGTCCTTTTCTCCTTAAATCAGGGTAGAGAACCTTTTTTGAGTCCATAGCAGCTGACCCACAGAAAAGTCAATTGGGGGCTACACACAAACAAGTGAGAAACAAAACAACCCCCAAAACCCCTCACTGATGTGGCCCCCAACTGAGGAGAAAGACACTCCCCCACATTCCCCTTGTACACCAGAGCCTAGGGGGACCCAGCCTAGTAGCTTTTGTGTGCTCCAGCCCCACAGTGGGGCATCAGGGGGCTGGAGCACCAGGGAGGGCTCCTCAGTGCTGGAGGGAGGGGGGGGGAAATAGAGAGGAAGGGCTGAGCCCCCAGGGCCAGATCCAGGCAAGCCAGGGGGCTGCATCCTAGGCCAGAGGTTCCCCACCCCTGCCTTAAACCCATTATTGGGCCTAAATCGGAGCCTGTGAATGTCACTGATAACTACTATTTTAAACAGTGGACTTTAGAGCAGGCCCTATATGCCACCAGACTTTTGGGGAACAGTTGGTTTATAAATCTTATTCCTCGTACATTTCATGTGACTTGTTAAAATTTAAAAAATTACACCTAAATGCATCTGTATAAAAAGTAATGATCTGATTGGGGTGTGAACAGCTCTAAACTTTAAATATTTGGAATTTTAAATACATATGAACACCTTAATGAAATTGAAATGCTTCATTATCTAAACTGCGTAGTTGGAAATATCTTAATTCTTAAAGGTGCATTATCAGGTGTCTTTGGCCCAAAATATAAAGTTTTTTGAAAAGGGGAGAAACCCTAGTTTTCAGAGAATTTTCTTTGGATTTAAGCCTTCCCTTATATTATTGCCAATGCTGACAATACCACTGGTGTATATGTGAGCCAAAGTATGAAACTG